CTATTCAAGTAGTTATTAAAAATAAGAAATGGTGATCAGTATTTTCTCTTCATAGGATTGAAAATTTGATTGTTATTCTAGCAAATGTAGCATATCTTTTCAGTAGTGAATTGAGAATCTGCCAGTAGAACTAAGAAAACTAAGTCTAGTGTTATGAAGAATAAAAGCAAAATATTCCCCTAATTAAAACTAAGCTTATTAGTTTGATGATTCAGGACAGGAGTCAAAAACACAGCTACAGCCCTGGCTGGCGTAGCTCAGTGGATTGAGCATGGGCTGCAAACCAAAGTGTCGCAGGTTCGGTTCCCAGTCAGGCCACATGCCTGGGTTGCAGGCCACGGCCCCCAGCAATCACATGTTGATGTTTCTCTCTCTCTCTCTCTCTCTCTCTCTCTTTTTCTCCCTCACTTCACTCTCTAAAAAATAAATAAACGAAATCTTAAAAAACAAAACAAAACACACAGCTACATATCCCCTGAACACAGGGTTCAGATGGTGTAGAGGGTGTGGCTGTAATTCTTTTTTTAAGAGTAGGAAGGAACAGAAGGATGGGATTAAAGAAAGCAAATGGGGTCTGCCTCATAGGTAGAGTTCAGATGCCTCCACTCAAGGCATGCCAAAATAAGATGAACGAAATTAAAAGGAGGAAAGGTACTATAAACCCAAAAGTCCTTAAACTCAGATGAGAAACAGATACTCCTTTCCTTCCTTCCTCCCTTCCTTCTTCCTTCCTTCCCTCCTTCCTTCCTTCTTTCCTTCCTTTTCTTTTTTCTATACCAACCACTGATTAGCTTAGGAGCATTTAAAGATTCATTTCTTAATTTCTTCCTTTTTAGGGTAGACATGCCAAACCAATTTACCATTCTTACAAAATATTTCATTATGTTTACTGCTCTCCTCTGGACCTTCAGCAGTTTTTCCATAAGCTTTACAATGTAGGGACTTTCCATAAGCTTTACAATGTAGGGAGCAAGCTTAAGAAGTGAGCTCCTGCCAGCACTTGATGGTGAAGAACAGCCATTCTGAGGCACTCACACAGAGGTGTTGCTGCTCTGGTCCTTTCATGAGGAAGCAATCTGGGTACTGTTTCTGACATCAAAATAAGCTTTTTAAAGAAAGGGAGTAGCACTGGTGTTTTCACCTCTGACCAAGCTTTAGGTTTATGATCTAAATGCAAGATAAATTATATCTGTCAAAACATTGTTCACTCTTATGATCTGGCTTGAAAAAATATAGTTCCAAGCACAGCAGGAAAATATAGTGCCTGGCATAGCAAGCTGGCCTTTAAATTAAATATTTGTGGGTATGTTAGCCCATTAGAAAAACAAGGGAAAAATATATCCTTGATAATAAATAGCATTATCAGGACAACTGGCCCAGAAATTACAAAAGGGTAAGGATGCAGTGTATAAATGTCACATCACAATTGAAATGGAGTTTCTCTGCCATGACTTGTGACATTGTTTATGTGACTGTGAGAGAGGGATGTGGTACACCTCACAGAGTGGTGAGTCTTGAGAAATGGTGCAGCATCTCTAACCCCTCACTGTAGGTTTCCCCCGGGTTTCCCTATCTTTGACAGTTTGAACATCCTCAGAGGAGGTGGGAAAAAAAAGATAAAAACAAATAGAATATGATGTCTTTTCTCTCCTTTTATATAAGCTATTTTGATGCAAAACAGTTCCCCAGGCATTTTTTTCTCATATATAAGAAGGCCAGTGGGAGAAATTACAGATGGGCTTCAAGTCATTCCATCTGGATACTTCCTGCCACCTAGGATGACACTTTGAGGTCTCAAGCCACATCTTTGTGTAGATGTGGTGGAGAAGTTGTATGAGGAAAGCTTTCTGTAGCGTAAGCTATAAAAGGATCTGGTTGTTTATACCCTTAGTAGGGTAAGTACAAGGATTTACCTTAAACGTTAATCAGAACCATCTTCTCTCAGAATATTTAGCACCACAAGAACCTGATTATTATGGAGTCCTGACAGACAGACTTAAAAGAGGCTTCATTTGAGGAACTAGCCCACATGCCAGGCAGGCTTCACTGGAAATAGCACATAATACCATAAGGATGGATATCATGGAAAGCTTTTTATTCTTAATAATGGGAACAATGTCAAGCAGTAATTAACATCATTGCTATTGAGCTGGTGACCAGTTCAGAGATAGTGCTCAGTTGTTTTCTCTGGCATAGCTATCCAATAGTTGGAAAAATGGAAAACTCTTTCCAAGAAAATCAGTTGAAGTTTAATGAAATTTCTCACTCAACTAATTAAAATGTTCCACTAAATTTATTTTTAAAATTACATTTTTTTGGAGCCTGATAACCTAAATCCTAATCAATCTTGGAACATATTTGACTAAAATGGTGGAATTTCAGACTTTACAGAATAGTAAATTTGTTGTTCGGCAGAATCTAACTGACTTCATTCACATAGATATTGTGTGTATATATATATTTAATACATTTTATTGATTATGTTATTACAGTTGCCACATTTCCCCCCTTCACTCCCCTCCACCCTGCACACCCCCTCCCACCCACATTCCCCCACTTTAGTTCATGTCTATGTGTCATAAGTTCTTTAGCTTCTACATTTTCCATACTATTCTTGCCCTCCCCCTGTCTATTTTCTACCTGTTGTCCATGCTACTTATTCTCTGTACCTTTTCCCCCCTCTCTCCTCCTCCCACTCCCCTGTTGCTAACCCTCCATGTGATCTCCATTTCTGTGGTTCTGTTCCTGTTCTAGATGTTTCCTTAGTTTGTTTTTGTTTTAGGTGTGGTTGTTAATAATTGTGAGTTTGCTGTCCTTTTACTATACATGTCTTTTCTTTATCTTCTTTTCTTAGATAAGTCCCTTTAGCATTTCATAAAATAAGGGCTTGGTGGTGATGAACTCCTTTAACTTGACCTTATCTGAGAATCACTTTATCTGCCCTTCCATTCTAAATGAAAGCTTTGCTGGGTAGAGCAATCTGGGATGTAGGTCCTTGCCTTTCATGACTTGGAATACTTCTTTCCAGCCCCTTCTTGCCTGCAAGGTTTCTTTTGAGAAATCAGCTGACAGTCTGATGGAAACTCCTTTGTAGGTTACTGTCTCCTTTTCTCTTGCTGCTTCTAGGATTCTCTCCTTCATTTTTACCTTGGCTAATGTAATTATGATGTGCCTTGGTGTGTTCCTCCTTGGGTCCCACTTCTTTGGGACTCTCTAAGCCTCCTGGATTTCCTGGAAATCTGTATCCTTTGCCAGATTGGGGAAGTTCTCCCTTATTATTTGTTCAAATAACTTTTCCACTTGTTGCTCTTCCTCTTCCCCTTCTGGTACACCTGTAATTTGGATGTTAGAACATTTAAAGATGCCCTGGAGGTTCCTAAGCTTCTCCTGTTTTTTTTGAATTCTTATTTCTTCATTCTTTTCTGTGTGGTTGTTTCTTTCTTCCTTCTGGTCCACTCCACTGATGTGAGACCCAGCTATTTTTCCATCACTATTAGTTCCCTGTGCATTTTCCTTCATTCCTCTTATCGTAGCCTTCATTTTTTCATCTAATTTGTGACCAAATTCAACCAATTCTGTGAGCACCCTGATCACTAGTGCTTTGAATTGTGCATCTGATAGGTTGGCCATCTCTTGGTCTCTTAAAAGTATTGGCTCTGGGGCTTTGATCTGTTCTTCCATTTGGGCCATTTTTTTTTTTGGTCTTATTGTGCCTGTTACATAGTGAGGGGCAGAGCCTTAGGGTGGGGCAACCCAGTCTCTGGGTTGTGACGCAGTATGTGGGGGTGAGGTCCGAGAGGAAACAAGGGTGCTTGCTCCGCTCTCTGTTGGATTTCAGTTCCTTCCCCCAAACTAACTGGGCCTTTCTGGTGCTAATTCCCATGTGGGTGGGCTTGTGTACATTGTAGGACCCCATGGGTCTCTCCAGCACACTTTCCTGTGAGGCTGGGAGTCTTTCCCTGCGCCTCAACCCCTACAGGTGTTTCCAATCAGTGCCCCGAGGTTCTATCGTGGCACTGGGACCCTGGGTTGTGTGGTCTGTCTCACTGCCCAATTTCACCTAGTTTATCTGCACGCGAAAGTGGCCTAGACAGCCAGGTGCCTTGTGCACAGTGCCTTGCTTCACAGTCACCACCTTACTGGGTCTGCCAGCAGCCTGTGCTCTTGTGCTCGGGATGCCTTACGCACCGGGGATGTGTTATGCATTCGGTGCCACTGCTTTTTGTGCTGCAACCCCTCTCCTCCAGGTTGCCTGACCCTGCCCCTCCTACTGGTTTGGATGAATGTGTCTATTTTAACTCCTTGGTTGTCCAACTTCCATACAGTTCAATTTTCTGTCAGAACTGGTTGTTATCTTGTGTCTATATTGTTGCTGACTTTTTTTTGGCTGTGCGAGGAGGCACAGTGTGTCTACCTATGCCTCCATCTTGGCTGGAAGTCCTGTATATATATTTTTATAATGACCTTGATAATCATTTTATATATCTTAATTGTTGTTGAAACTTTTTAAAAAATAAAATAACATATACTTATAGAAAAATATGAAAATATACTTAACTAAAAGAAGAAAATAAACATTACTTAAGAAAGAGAACAGTTGCTGTGGCACATTCTTTCCCAACATCTCAGGGAGCAACAACTTCTAGATACTATTTTAAAGCTACTGATTTATTTTTAAATTGTATTTAGGCAAAGATAGGAAAGGAAAGGATTCTTGGGCCTTGCACTTAGTTTGTTGGAATTCATATTTACTAGAATAGGGCATTCTGGAGTTGCTTGCAGTCATAGTAAGTGTGTCCTCAGAGACCTGGGATTACCTCCCAATGATGAGTTTGTAGCTACCTCAAATAAAATAACACGTGGTCAGACAAATGGAATAGTCTATAAACCAGAAGTCTAATGGCTGATTTTCTTCTGGGCTTCTTTTCTTGCTGCTGGTGGCGGCTTTCTGTTCTCTTCCAGAGTTCTAGTGGAAGGGTGCTATCTTTTGTTTTTAACAGAATGCTGATCCAGGTGTGCCTGTATTTTTACTGCAAATTTTTGTGGCGCTGTCTGAAATTTGTAATGAGGAAGCTGACTGGAAGATGTGAACTACAGCGGATCTGTTACAATACCAAGCCTGGAGCTTCTAGAACCATGAAGATCGGTAAGCATGAAACAAGGAAGTAAGCAAAATGTAGGTTTGGTGGCACTGAGGATACAGTGTTTTAGTTCAGCATGGTGATTTTAAACCACATGTAAAGGACAATTTTTGAGTGATTTTTAAAATTATCTCTTTTATAGAAACATCACTGAGGGATTCAAAAAGTAAGGTGAGTAAAATTGATTCTATATTTTTCAGCAACTTTTCACTTGGAAGCTTCCCTCTATCATCAAAAAGTAAAAATTTCAGGAAACAAAATATACCATTGGCTATCAAAACTAATAACAACTGAGGTGGCTCTCTGTATGGAGTATACCCACACCTTCCCCTGTCCCCCCTTTTTCTTCTCTCTCTCTCTCTCTCTCTTTCTCTCTCTCTCTATCTCTACCTCTATGTCTATCTCTATCTCTCTCCTTCCTCTCCCCACTTTCTCCCTCCCTCTCTCCTAAGAGAAAAAAATTTGAAAAGAAAGAATTGCCTTTGTTTTTAACATGGAAATAGCCACTGCATGTGATTTTTTTTTAGGCAGATGTAAGATGTACTTATTACTCTACTGTTGAATCATCCTTTTTTATACCTCTTCCCAAAACATAAAATAAATATTCCTTGAAATAAGAGCAACATTAACTCTCAATATCCAAATCATTTAATGTTAATACTCAGGATTTTCCAAGAAAATCAAAGAAGCCACTATTCTAGTTTTTATAGCACATAGTTAAGCATCCACATAAGAGAGAAAACCTATTTTTTCAAGATTCTTGAATATTATTTTTTAATTTTGGTATCCTTAAGACTATATCCCCCATGAACTTCACTCAATCATAGACATAATGCCCAGTAACAGTGGAAATCAGGCATGTTGAGAGAGAAAAAGAAAATATTTTAATGTAAGTAGTTTAAAACAGATGAAAATGGTAAAAAAAAACCTTATTAGTTTATTTTATGTTATTACTTTAATCAGGAAAATTGCACTACCATCATCATGAAAATGTCAAATTTACTAGAATTAAAATACTAAAACAATATTTGCTCTTAGTTTAGTTTAGTATCTTCATAGAGAAGCTTCAAACAAATACTCGAAGCCCCTATCTAATAGACCCTAAAGGGGCCCCACTTAATCTCTGGTGTTCATGACAAGGAAAATGATTGAGACCTGTTTTCCAGCTGTTGCAGACTTCAGTGAGTGTTCACCCTGATGCTATTGAAAAAACTATAGAAGACATCATGGAACTGAAAAAAATTAACCCTGACATAAATCCACAGTAAGAACTATTTTTATTTTGTAAATATAGAACACAAGTCATGGCTATGCATTTATTATTTATTTAATGCACTTGTTGTCTCTCTCAGTCTGTCTGCCTCCCTCTTTCAATCTCTCTCTCTCTCAATCTCTCCACCTCCCCAGTCCCAAATCATCTGCAATGTTTTGACTTTCAGATGAAGAATAAAGCAAAAGGGTACCTTTTTCATGTTTATAAATAGCAGCAACTTTCTACTTTTTATGATTCATGCTTATGTTCTGCGATGCAATGAATGTAAGAAATATAATGGATGGCTCTGGTATCAGATGAATTAAAGGGAACCTATTTCATCAACAGCCATTTCATGCAATGCCTGTGTTTTACCTTACAGTAAAAGTTCAAATTGTAAATGTGCCCAGGCTGATTCTGCTCCATCAGTTCATGACAGGCTGAAAATCTTGGAGACAGTTCCTACATGCCTGTCAAGAAGTCAGGCATGTGTGGGAGGGAGAGATGGTTTTTATATGAAGACTTTAGAACTTTGTACTTTATTCATCTCATCTTGGAAGTATTAAAATGCATTTGGCAATGTACATGACATTTAAAATTAGTTTTATCTTTTCCATTGAGAAGAGGAATTTTTCAGTAAAAAATTGGGCTACAGATATTGGAAAGAATAAATTCTGCATGCAGATATATTTAGAAATAGTTTCGGTAGGTAACAAGCCATCTTTTAGATATTCATGTGAACTTCAGGTGTTGTCACTGAGAAAGGTTTTTAATTGCCAAAGACTGGGAGCTATAGTTAAAGGGAATATTAGAGTTCACTTTGCATATGTCTATCTATTGGAAGGATTCTAGGTACTAGCTAATTGGGTTTCACCACAAAACTGCATTTCTATTTGGTCTCTATAGCATTCTTTTGCACACGCCAGCTACTTAACTGCCTTTTTCTTATTTGGCCATTAAAGATGATTTAGTTATGCAGTAAAAGTCTTTTTGAAACCTTTTGACATATATTTTATTTCTCTGGGAAAGTGATAATAAGACAATTTATTTTAAATTAAGTTGAACGAAAAATTTAAGACTACCATTAGGCATGAAGGATGTATTAGACTTATAATCACATTTAGAGATTGTATTAATTTAATAGCGGATCTCTTCTGTCCCTTCTGTGAAAGTTATATGTTTCATTCAAGAGCATTTCCTTGCAGCTATTCTTTTGATTGTCTTTAGGAAAAATAAAACCTTATAGGTAGTAGATTGCATTTTGCTACTTTTTTTCCCCATACTGACATTCACAAAATGTGATTTTTTTAATTTAAATAATTTTCTGGAAAAAATCAAGAAATAGAGCAAGGGGAAGTATTTTATAATTTATCAATCTATTACTACTATTAACCTCACTTTGCTTTAATTACATTTTTTTCCAAGTGCTGCTTATGCTGCTGGTAAGAATTACTACAGTAAAAATTGAATTGGATTCTCTTGTTCCATCTTCTTTCATTTTTCCCACTTTCCTCTTTTCCTCAGAATTAACTCTTTTCAGTCCTGCACTGTTTTCCTGGGTGACCAGTGCCACTGTTCACTTTTCCTATATTAAAATACCCGATTTAGCTTTTTGGTGTTATGGTAACAAGTAGTGATAAGGGTCATTTAATTGAACATTCTTTTTTTTTTAAGATTTCATTTATTTTTTATTTTTTTTAAGATTTTATTTATTTATTTTTAGAGACAGAAGGGAGGGAGAGAGAGAGAGAGAAACATCAATGTGTGGTTGCTGGGGGTCATGGCCTGCAACCCAGGCATGTACCCTGACTGGGAATCGAACCTGCGACACTTTGGTTCGCAGCCCACACTCAATCCACTGAGCTACACCAGCCAGGGCCTGAACATCCATTTTTATGTAAGTTTAGTATTCTGGGTTATCTGACACTGCCCTCTACATTGGGGGTAAGTACACAACCTAAGACATAATTTTCTGTTGCCCCTATTTTAGTCTTAATTTTCTATACATCTTATTCCCCTCCCCACCCCCCCAAAAAGATGATGATGACACTGTGATTGTGATTATAATGACCATCACAACAAGGATGTTCAAATTTAGTGAATGAATTAGGGATAGGCGTATATGGGAGAGTAACTGTTGGGTTAAATCATATGAAATTGCCAACATTCAACTATTTTGAATCACAAAAGCTAATGACTGTAAAGAATATAGCAGGAATAAATAAATGTGAAATAAATACTTCCTTTAGATTTTAAAATGCCAGCAAATGAATGTAGGCAAATAATTTATATGACTGTAGTTTATATGAAAAAAGAATCTTAAGAATCTGGTGATTAGTTAGCCATCTGTTTAATATACCTGTTATGTGACTGCTAAAAGAAACCCTGTTTTATCTTCTAAGTTATAGGCAAGAAACAGCATTTAGACCACAGGAATTAATGATCCTGTGTGTCACACTTGCCAGCTTGCTTTCTGTCCCAGTCATGTGTTGTAATGGTACTGTTAAACATGTACATTCAGAGAAGACTGAGCAATGTAGTAAAACATCTCAAAACCATGTTGCATGAGAAGGAAGTGAAGGAACAGAGGAATTTGTTTAACCCTAGAGATGAAAGTAGAAGAAAGAATTACTATCTTAAAATAAATAGACATGGGAAATGTGGAAATACATTTTCTCAGAGAACAGAATTTGAGCCACTTGGTGGTAAGGAAAGCAGATTTTGTTTCAGCCTAAAAAAGTGTTCAGACAACTAGAGGAGTTGAAATGGAATGGGAAATCTTGTAAAGTAGTGAGTTCTTTCTCTTAGCATGGCCTCATCTGTTCAGGAATGCTCCCAAACAGAGGTATTTTTGTTGTTTTGAAAACTTTTTTACTCCTAAGCCTCCTACAGCTATTTCCTCCCTCTGTCACTATCTGTAAACACACACACACAACCCTCTGAAGTGTTCTGATATACCCACCTACTGGGGGCTACATGATCTCTAAGAACTCATTATCACCTTTATTTTCTATATTTCATAAGTCACCTGCATAAAACACTCCCATGTTTTTTAAACCACATCATTGCACATGGCTTAAGAAAAGGCCAGAATGAGAGGGAAGTTTCAGCCAAGTTCTGCAACTGTCCATGAGTTTTAGTAAGAAGTTGTGCTTCTATTAGATCCTATTTGTGCAATTTCCTACATATTAAATGAACAGGAAAAGTCCTGTTGTGCATACAGCGTGTGAACAAATACCAAAGTGTGTTTTGTTTTACTTCATGTGTGTTTCTTCTTTTTGAACACCTTAGGTTGGGAATCTCTCTTCAGGCTTGCCTTCTGCAGATCGTTGGGTACAGAAACCTTATTGCAGATGTGGAAAAACTGCGCAGAGAACCCTATGATTCTGATAATCCCCAACATGAGGAAATGCTTTTGAAGGTTAGTCCTCGAGCACATTCTAGGCCTTTGCTTGGGTCAGCTAATGTCTGCCAAGCACCTTCTATATGATAGGCATTCCATCATCTATTTTCAGAAGTTAATTTAGAAAACACTTTAGATTACTAATTTAGTTCTAAAGGTTGATTTAAAATTTTTCTCTTAATTTTTAATTTAAAATTCAGTTCTTTGAGGTAATGTTTTAATGTAATGATCTTATGTGATCTGATGATATATTTTGAAACAGTAATACAACAACAGATCATATAAGATTCCTAAGGTCTTGTTTCAATAGCCAGAAGGAGTATTTAGAATTGCATATTAGTCTTTCAACAGTTTTAATACACCAGATATAAATCTTTACCTCCTCTTCTACTACTTTCCAAGTTACATGAATAAATAATCATCATTAAGGTCTTGGGTAATTTCCCAAGAGGGCTATTACTGAAGCAGAAACCAACTTCATCTTCTTTGATGTTTATTAAAAGTCATAAATGGAAATCCCAGGTCACTCTTTGACAAATGCTGTTTCTCCTATGGCTTCTGACACAGTTAAACAATCTAAACTTGAGCCAAATGTGAAAGCCTACAAAAGTCACCTCTGATGCTTTCTCAGACTACAAAAGAAAATTGGCTTTGCATCTAAAGTCTCACATGGATCTTCTAATGAAAACTTTACCTCTAACATCTGAACCAGCAAGAAAAGTAGGCTTTACCAACTAATTCATTGTCCGTGTCTTACTCACTTTTGTGACCCCATGTCTACAGCAGTGCCTAAAATTCAAAAAAGCAGTAACAAATTGGAAGAAAGCTTAGCTGCCCTAACTTTATTTATTGAAAAATATCAAGGCTTCTGGCCAAGATGGAGGCATAGGTAGATATACTTTGCTTCATTGCACAACCAAAAGAAGGACAACAACCAATTTTAAAACAAAAAAAAAAACAACAACCAGAGCTACCAAAAAAATCTAACTGTGTAGAAGTCTGACAACCAAGGAGTTAAAGAAGAAACATTCATTCAGCCTGTTAGGAGGGGTGGAGAAGGGCAGCCAGGGTGGAGAGGATGTGCTTCAAAGCAGCAGCTGATGGGCCAGGAGGGCAAGGCGATGGCTGGCGGACCAGGCAGTCCCACATTTGCGTGCAGATAAACCAGGAAGAACAACTGGGGAGTGAAGTAGACCATGCAATCCAGGGGTCCAGAACTTGGGAAAGAAAGCTTTAAAATCTCTAGGTGTAAACACCTGTAGGGGTTGTGGTGGCAGGAGAAACTGCCAGTCTCACAGGAGAGGTCATTGGAGGGGCCCACAGGGTCCTAGAATGTACACAGGCCCATATACCCTGGAAAAATAGCCCCAGAAGGGCCCAATTTGCTTGTGGGTGGGGGAAGGAAGGTGGGGGAGAGAAGAAGCAAGTGGGGAGAGAGCCCAGCAAGCACCATCGTTCCCTTTCTGACATCTCCCCCACATATAGCACCACAAGGCAGCAAAGTGGGTTGTCCTGCCCTGGCAAATACCAAAGGCTCCACCTCTTATAATGTAACAGGTACACCAAGAAAAAGAAATATGGCCTAAATGAAAGGACAGATAGGTCAAAACTCCAGAAAAAGAACGAAGTGATAAAGAGATAGCCAACCTGTCAGATATAGAGTTCAAGACACTGGTAATCAGTATACTCACAGAAATGGTTGAGGATGGCTGCAAAATAAAGGAAGAAGTGAAGGCTGTAGAAAGTGAAATAAAGAAAAATATACAGGGAACCAAAAATGAAGGTAAGGAAACCGGGACTCAAATCAACAATTTGGACCAGAAGGAAGAAATAAACATTCAACCAGAACAGAATGAAGAAACAAGAATTCAAAAAAATGAGAGGCTTAGGAACCTCTGGGACAACTTTAAACATTCCAATATCTGAATCATAGGGGTGCCAGGAGGAGAAGAAGAGGAGCAAGAAATTGAAAACTTATTTGAAAAAATAATAAAGGAGAACTTCCTCAACCTGGCAAAGGAAATAGACTTCCAGGAAGTCCAGGAAGCTCAGAGAGGCCCAAAGAAGTTTGACCCAAGGAGAAACACACCAAGGCACATCATAATTGCATTACCCAAGATTAAAGACAAAGAGAGAATCTTAGAAGAAGCAAGAGAAAAGGAGACAGTTACCTATAATGGAGTGCCCATAAGACTGATGTTTCAAAAGAAACCTTGCATGCAAGAAGGGGCTCAAAAGAAGTATTCAAAATCATGGAAAGCAAGATTATATCCAATAAATCTATCATTTAGAATAGAAGGGCAGATGAAGCACTTTCCAGATAAGGTCAAGTTAAAGGAGTTCACCATCAACAAGCCCTTATTGTATGAAATGTTAAAGGGACTTATCTAAGAAAAAGAAGATAAAAAAACACGTATAGTAAAATGACAGCAAACTCACAATTATTAACAACCACACCTAAAACAAAAACAAAAACAAACTAAGGAAACAACTAGAACAGGAACAGAACCACAGAAATGGATATCACATGGAGGGTTAGCAACAGGGGAGTGGGAGGAGGAGAGAGGGGGGAAAAGGTACAGAGAATAAGTAGCATAGATTGGGAGGGTAAAAATAGTAAGGGAAATATATAAGCTAAAGAACTTATAACACATGGACATGAACTAAAGTGGGGGAATGTGGGTGGGAGAGAGTGTGGGGTGGAGGGGAATGAAGAGGGGAAATGGGGCAACTGTAATAGCATAATCAATAAAATATATGTAAAAAAACACCATGGTACATTTACACAATGGAATTCTGTGCAGCAGAGAGAAAGGAGCTTATACCTTTGAAAGAGCGTGGATGGAACTGGAGAGCATTATGCTAAGTGAAATAAGCCAGGCAGTAAGGAACAAATACCACATGATCTCACCTTTAACTGGAACATAATCAACAAAAGAAAAAAGCAAATGAAATATAACCAGAGACATTGAAATTAAGAACAATTTAACAATAGCCAGAGGGGAGGAGGGAGGAGACAGTGGGAAGAAGGATTTTCAGGAACTGCTGTAAAGGACACATGGAAAAAACCAAGGGGGACCGTGGAAGCAAGGGAGTGAGGTGGGTTTGGAGGGAGTGGGGTGGAGGAGGGAGAGAAAATATGGACAACTGTAATTGAACAATAATAAAGTAATTTAAAAAAGAAAAACCAATAACAAACAAAATAAGGAAACAGCTAGAACAGGAACGGAATCACAGAAATCACATGGAGGGTTATCAGTGGGGACGGGGAGTGGGTAGAATAGGGGAAAAGGTACAGGGAATAAGAAGCATAAGTGGTAGGTACAAAATAGACAGGGGGAGGCTAAGAATAGTATAGGAAATGGAGAAGTCAAAGAACTTACATATACAACCCATGGACATGAACTAAGGTGGGGAATGTCGAAGGGAGAGGTGGTACAGGGCAGAGGACGATAAAAGGAAGGGAAAGAAGGAACAACTGTAATAGTATGATCAATGAAATATACTTTTAAAAAGAAAAATGTCATATAAGTTGTAATTTTAAAAATGTATCCTGTTGTTTTTTTTGTGTGAAGGAGTATATATTTTGTGTATGTAAGCACTTAAGTGGATGGCTCATTTGTCTCTACTGATTAGTGCCAGATCTGATGCGAAGCATTAAAAATTAAAGAAGCTTCATTCTTAACAATAGTTTTTCTCCTTCCCTCTCTTCTGCTTAATTTTACCTAAGCCATGAACTGAGCTTCATCTTTTATTGCCTCATTTTTTCATTCCTAATACAGGTAGTTGAGTTCAATAAAATAATCTCAAGGTGGGAGTTAAGAGGTGAAAGAAAGAGCCCTAACCTATGTTGGCTCAGTTCGTTGGGCATCATCCGCAAAATGAAAGGTCCATAGTTTGATTCCGGGTCAGGGTACATGTCTGGGTTGCAAGTTCAGTCCCCAGTTGGGGTATGTGCAAGAGGCAACCAGTAAATGTTTCTCTCTCACATTGATGTTTCTCTCCCTCTTTCTCCTTTCCTTCCCCTCTCTCTAAAAATAAGTAAATAATTAAAAAAAAAAGAGGTGAAAGAAAGAGAAGGTGGTATAATTAACAGACTAACCACAAGCACCTGAACAATTTGTTAGAATGGCTGAGTGCCTGCTAAATCAGTGACATTTGGGTACTTGCCATATACCATCTTAGTTGATCTGTTGTATGTGTGCTGGCACATAGTAGGTTGTTAACAAGTATGGGTAAATGCATGAATTATCGTAGTTCATTAGATAGTCAAGAACTTTTGTGATATGACTTATCTGTCATCATGATTTGAGCATGTATGTGTGATCATTTTTTACTGTCACTGCTATAAGATGTAATGAAAGTGATGGTTCATGTTAATCTCAGAGGTGAGCAAACAATGATCATTTTAATCCAGCTCTGATTCACATAGTGAATTATAAGCCAGGATAGTCCACTTCTGTATTAGGCACTTTGAGAAAAAGCATCTTTTCTGCCCTTAAGTGGTTTGTAATCTAGTTAGAGAGGTATGGCACATTTACAAATATCACTAAATCTTCTTATAGAGCTCCCCACAAATACCTCTTGAGTGTTTTCCATGCCAACTGCCTTATTCTAGCCATTATCTCCAACTTGGGCCACTAACACTTCCTTCCTCCCATCTCCTTAAATACTACTGGAGGGATTTAGTCATGTCATTCTCTATGTTGAAAACTTTAGGTGCCCTATGTTGAAACAATAGAAAGCCCATGCATCTTAGCATGCATTTTGAACCCTTTCCAATTTATTTCTTTAAGCTGTTTTCCTGCATCCCCATCACGTATAGCACCTTTCCACCATGCTCTGTCATTCACCCTGGCCCAGAATAGGTTGTGCCATCCCCTGTGGCCCAGGTATTTGTTCCTGCTGTTGCCCCTGTTACCTATTATTTTCACAGCAGAAGCTGCTCAAATTTTTTAAGTCCCTATTTATTGAATTTAGAAATCTTTTCTATCCTCCCCAAGCAAACTTATTAGTAGGGTCTCTATTTTCCTCTTCAATTTATATGAATTACAAGTATGATCATAACAAAATCAATAATAATAAAACATTCATTGAGGGTTTAGTAGGTGCCAGTCATGTCAGTAAGTGTCACAATAACCTTTTGGTGAGATATTGATATTAACCCCATTTTTAGGCGAGGAAGCAGGCTTGGCAGTTATGTGACTATCCAAGCTCACACAGTTAGGAAGGGTTCTACACTGCTCTACTGCACTACCTCTTGAGGGAGACTTTCATATATTGCTATAATGTTTAAGTGCTTTGATTTGTAAACTAGGCCATTATCAGTGTTTCTACTTAAAGGATAAAAAAAATGGATTTTATGATCATTTAAACATAGGCTGGAATGATACTGAGTAATATTACTTTACATTCATGTAGCACTATCCATATGAGTTATTCACATGGACATTTCTATTAAATGTTTATAATGAAATTGATAATAAAAGAAAAAATTTATGGGGATTCATGGCTTAATAGGAAAAATATAACCCAGAATTCAAAGATGCTCTCCTATTGGCAAGAGATAGTCTCCTGGAGACTTCAGTGAAAAGCTGCTTTTGAATGACTGGATGGGTGAATGGCCTTGCCCTTTCTGTTCTGCGGCAGACCCAAGATAAAGCAGAAGTGTTCAAATAAGCTTGCGGTAAAGGCTCAGCACAAAAGAGAACAGAATTAAACAGAGCATGGACCCTGATGGATAATAGCCTGATTCAGCATGCTGCTTCCATGCTGTAGCCTGTCATCTGCCAGAGAATCACCCTTTTTAACTCTAATCTCCTGCACTTGGCGGGTGGCTTTGTAATAACTCTACTCCCATCTCACAGTCTTAGATGGCCAGCTCCTCTGAGGCTCCAACCAGAGGCCCACCACTTAAGTTCAGATTTCCAGTCAGCTTCCAATGTGTGAGAAATCACCTCACATTGCAGAAGCACCTGGCCTCTTACTCTTAATTTTTTCAGGTACTGGCCTGTCTATCAGAAGAGAATCTAGTAATTCAAGCATTCTTACAGGAAATATATACATGGTAGCACTTCATATGAGTATTTTAGCATAAACAACTTCCATTTACCAAGAAAGTACCCTTATTAAAGCAGTTAAGATAAAAAACTTAAGTTTTATTAGCCATTAGTCTAGTCTGTCTTAATATACAAAATTATTAAAATGAAAATCCTTTTAAAAGCATTTTATTATTTAAACGTTTTACTCTCAAACTAAGTATTCTCCCAATGATGAGGTTTATAACTTACCAAGCATTTATTTCTATAATAAAATGCTTGCTTTTGCTCTTTTATTTCATTCACTTGACAAAACCAGATAAATTTAATTATGTAGGACTCTGAGGTTACTTCAAATTATTATCCATATGAATGTGATGGGATTTACAATGTTTCCTTTTTTTATTTCATAGTGTTCAAGTACAGTTGTCTACATTTTTCCCCACAACTCCCCCCGACCCCAGTCATCCCTACCTCCCACCCTTGATCCTGCTCCCCTTTGGTTTTGTCCATGTGTTCTTTATACAAAAAATTTTCTTTTTATTTATTTTTTCATTGTGGCATTAACCAAATTAGTTCCTAAAGGAACTTTTAAAAGAGACCTTTTTTTCTAATTTTTTAAGTACTCTTCTGACGAACTCAGAAATATTTCCTGTTTTGATGAATACAGAGCACTGGCAAATTCTTATGTGGATAATATAAAAAGAGATTTCTATTGCCCATGTTTCATATTTTGCTTTCAAGTATGACATAATTTACTCTGAAATTTTTCTCTTACTCTTTAGATTGAATTTACTGGTTATGCTACTAAAATAAAATATTGTATCATTTGAATAACACATAATTTTGGATTAGTACCTAAAATAACTTTGATAAATTTTTTGTTAGTATTTCCTATCATTGAACATTGGTTTTTTTTTTGAACATTGTTTTGTACTGTGTCAGATACGTGACAGTTCACTGTAAAAAGGTGTTTATGTATCCTGTTGTGCTTAAATTTTAAAATCTACATAACATAGAACAGGCAGTTTAGAAGTTGAATTATGTTGAAATAGTAATAAGGAAATTTTACATTTATTTTTGTCTCTATAATGAAAATATAATATAAAATATTATTAATATTCTTAAAGGCAAATTTGCTTACATGCTTATCTCTGTTTATTAGAAGGAACTAGTAGAGCATTGCATATCTGTACAGCTGTGATTGTCTCACTTTCTCAAGTAACGATGTGTTAAACATATATTTCTTTTTTTAATATATTTTATTGATTATGCTATTACAGTTGTCCCATTTCCCCCCCTTCTCCCCCCCCCCACCCTGTACCCCCTCTCCCACCCACGTTCTCCCCCTTTAGTTCATGTCCATGTGTCATACTTATGAGTTCTTTAGCTTCTACATTTCCCGTACTATTCTTACCCTCCCCCTGTCTATTTTCAACCTACATTCTATGCTACTTATTCTCTATACCTTTTCCCCCTCTCACCTCCTCCCACCCCCCTGCTGCTAGCCCTCCATGTGATCTCCATTTCTGTGGCTCTGTTCCTGTTCTAGTTGTTTACTTAGTTTCTTTTGGTTTTGCTTTAGGTGTGATTGTTAATAATTGTGAGTTTGCTGTCCTTTTACTATACATGTCTTTTCTTTATCTTCTTTTCTTAGCTAAGTCCCTTTAGCATTTCATAAAATAAGGGCTTGGTGATGATGAACTCCTTTAACTTGACCTTATCTGAAAAGCACTTTATCTTCCCTTCCATTCTAAATGAGAGCTTTGCTGGATAGAGCAATCTGGGATGTAGGTCCTTGTCTTTCATGACTTGGAATATTTCTTTCCAGCCCCTTCTTGTCTGTAAGGTCTCTTTTGAGAAATCAGCTGACAGTCTGATGGGAACTCCTTTGTAGGTTACTGTCCCCTTATCTCTTGCTGCTTCTAGCATTCTCTCCTTCATTTTTACCTTGGCTAATGTAATTATGATGTGCCTTGGTGTGTTTCTTCTTGGATCCAACTTCTTTGGGGCTCTCTGAGCTTCTTGGATTTCTTGGAAGACTGTTCCCTTTGCCAGATTGGGGAAGTTCTCCTTTATTATTTGTTCAAATACGTGCTCAATCTGTTGCTTTTTCCCCTTCCCATTCTGGTACCCCCTATAATTCGGATGTTGGAACGTTTAAAGGTGTTCTGGATGCTCTTAAGCTTTTCCTCGATTTTTTTGAATTCTTATTTCATCATGCTTTCCTGCTTGGTTGATTCTATCTTCCTTCTGGTCTACTGTATTGTTTTGAGACTCAGATTCCTTCCTTTCACTATTGGCTCTCCTCCGCGTATCTTCCTGCATCTCTTTTATGGTAACCTGCATCCTTTCATCTAAATTGTGCCCAAAGTCAACCAATTCCGTGAGCTTTCTGCTCACCAGTGTTTTGAACTGTGCATCTGATAGATTGGCTATTTCTTGGTCGCTCAAAAGGATGAGTCCTGGGGGATTGATCTGCTCTGTTGGAAACATATCTTATGTCTCCCTGTCTCTCCTTTTTTTTTTTTCCCGGTCTAGTCGCTCTTGTTATGGTGGGGGGCGGAGCCCTAGGTGTTCACCGGGGCTGGGCACCCCAGTCGCTAGATTGTGATGTTATATGTGGAGGCGGGGGCGGGAGCGGGGATGGGAGGGAACAATGGCGGTAGTTCCATTCTCCTGGGCTCAGACCCTTCTCTGGGATCCTGGGCTGCGAGCTCTGCCCTGGTCCACAATCGCTGCCTCACTGGGTCTGCCAGCCGCAGCTTGCGTACTCAGGGATCACCGCTGCATTCTTGCACCCTGGATGGCTGTCGCACCGATTTTGCGCCAAATTTTCCCCGACCTCCGCGCCAACCCCGCGCCCGCCCGGTTCTTCGTCTCCTACCAGTCTGGATGTACGGGTCTACTTCAATTTCTTGGCTGTCTGACTTCCATTCAGATAAATCCTATCAGTTCTGAGTGTTATGCTATCTGTAAATTATTGTTGTTCTAATCTTGGTTGTGCGAGGAGGTATGGTGTGTCCACCTATTCCTCCAACTTGCCGGAAGTCCTGTGTTAAACATATATTTCTATAGAAAACTTAGAAAAATATAACCAATTTATTAAGCAGTGAAGAACATGGTGCTTTGAATTTACACTTGTCCATTAATATAAAATTGATTATAATTGAAACATTTTTAGGTAACTCTTAAAGATAATAATATATTTTGAGGTTATTCATGAACATTACTGACCTTTTGTTTAGCTATGTGACATTTATTCTCACCTCATCCTAGATGAGCCCTAAGAAATAAAACTCAAGTCTATTTTTCTTTTTCTTAGTAATGCTGCTAAAAGTTTTGCTGTAAAGTAAGATAAGCATTTTCTAAGGATTTTAATAATGCATGGCTTCAAAATATTCCCTGTTCTCTCCTTCCCTTTACTCTTTTATATATTTTTGGAGATCCCAACAGCTTCTGTGGGAGATAGATATCTGATTAGAAATTAAAACAAATATTTGAAACACTAAAATATAAAAGTACACATTCCATTGCTTTCAGTGGGGTGATGTGGTCACATGTCACACAGCCTCTGGAAAATCCCACCGTATATTCATGAGAAGACGAGAATGAAAAAACAAAAACCTGTTAGTTTTATTATGAAATAATTTTTACCTCCCAGACCCTGAGAAAAGGTCATGGTATTCCTCCAAGAGTGTTCAGACAATACTTTGAGAACTGCTATTATAGGGAATTGAAAGATGATCAAATCTTTAATTGTAATATGTTTGCATGTATTCAGCTTTTACAGAGTTCCTCCTGATGGTGGTGTTTACAAAATCTGAGACAATGGAAAAGAATATTTATGTGTGCATACCAACAAGCTAATTTTCTTTCTTGTTTCCAGTTGTGGAAATTCTTGAAGCCCAATACTCCACTGGAATCTCGGATTTCTAAGCAATGGTGTGAAATTGGTTTCCAAGGTGATGATCCTAAAACAGATTTTCGAGGAATGGGACTTCTGGGACTGTACAATTTGCAGTAAGTAAAATGAAGAGTGGGTAAATATTAAAGTGATCTTGTCTCCTTATAATGAAATGACAGAATTGAGTTATTAGGTCCAAAAGCCACTTCCAAAAAGACTCCAAGAAAACATTCAAGTCCTCTGAGAGATAACTCAGGTTTGGAAAATATAAAAAGCTACTACCATCTTACTTTTATCTGGAAAACTTCATGGATTCTTTTAAGCAATTCTCAAATTTATTTATTTTATTTTTTGATTATGAAAAAAATTTCAGTATATACAAAAAACAGAAGGTTATTAAAGAACTCCTCTTTTACTAATCACCCAGATTTAGTAATTATCAAGGTTTTGAAATACTTGTCATGTTTGTTTTTTGGGAGGTAGAAGCATGTTAATGAAAATTTATACTGGTTTTCATTCACTCTTAAGCTGTAAAAAACATCAATATTACCTTACATTGACCCAAATGGCATCACACCTAACAAAATTAACAACATTCCTTGGTGTCCTCTATGTTCAGTGCACATTCAAATTACCAGTTCTCCCAAAATCTCTTTTTAAATCTGGTTCTAATCCAATTTTAAACAAGATCTCCACATTTTACTTCATTATTATGTCTCTTGGACTTTTTAATTCAAGCAGTTTCTCTCCCTCTGCCCCGTCATTAACTTGTTCAAGATTCCCAGTCAATTGTCTTGTAAAATGTCCCATGGTCTAGATGTGCCTGTTTTCATTTATGCCCATCCCTTGTATGTCCTAAAAATAGTCAGTATTCAGAAAGACATGAATCAAGTTGGCATCACAGTGAGAGGCCTGCCTTGTCCCTATTCTCATTCCCAGGCTGAGATGGGTCAGAGGTATCACAGGCTGGTGGCTGCATTGTGAAGTCCCCATTAGCCCTTTGTCTAATCAAGTCCTCCTTCAGTGGTCTTCACTGAACCAATTACTTAATCATGCAAAAACTTTTTCTAATTCATTTTTCTTCCCATAGTTGTTGGCTAGAATTCTGTGGAGATTCAGTTTCCTTTATCAACTATGGTTATTTGGTTTCTCTAAAATACAGACAGGACAGATGTTCACTAAATAAATTGCCATTTTTTAGCATGAGGACTTGGTGCCCTAGTTCCCATGTTAGTAATCAAAAAACTTTTTTAGGCTTTATCTCTCTGTGTTTTAAATATTATTTTTAATCCTGGTTCTTATATGTTTATTGTGATTCAACTAATTTCACTCATTATTTTTTCATGCTCAAATTGAGTCATTTTTGGTTATTATTTTTCAAGCCAAAGGGAGTCCTTTTAGGTTGGTTCACATATCCTTTAACACACCCCTATTAGTGATACTAGTGATATTATTTTTTAAAGAAATTAAGCCTTACTCAGTCATTTTTTATGGCACCCCATTTTCTCCCTAGATCTTTACTTTTATATTAAATTTAAGAAGTTTATAATCACTCATTATTTTAGGAAATCCTTTAAATGGTACACTATTAGAGCCCTGGCCATGTAACTCAGTTGGTTGGACCATTGTCCCATACACCTTAATGTTTCAGGTTCAATCCTGGGTCAGAGCACATACCTGGGTCTCAGGGTCCATCTCCAGTTGGGGTGCTTATGGGAGGCAACCAGTTAATGTTTCTTCCTCTCCACCACTTCCTCTCTAAAATCAATAAGCATACCCTTGGGTGAGGACTTAAATAAACAAATAAATACTACATTATTATATGATGTAAATAAAAAGTATTGATAAATTTTGATGACAAAGGTGGTATTACAAATTAATTGCTAAAAGGTGGCTTTTGAATAACTAGAGCTGGGACACTTAGCCTTCCAGTTAGAAAAATAAAATTCAATCTATACCTTACCTCTGTGGTATAAACCATAAAATAAAAATCAATAATCAATAAATTTCACACATTAAAATTGAAAACTTCCATAAGATAAGCTACCATAAACAAAGTGAAAAGACATAGCCCTGGCTGGTGTAGCTCAGTGGATTGAGCGCAGGCTGTGAACCAAAGTGTTGCAGGTTTGATTCCCAGTCAGGGCACATGCCTGGGTTGCAGGCCACGGCTCCCAGCAACCGCACATTGATGTTTCTCTCTTTCTCTTTCTCCCTCCCTTCCCTCTCTAAAAATAAATAAATAAAATCTTTTAAAAAATTTTAAAAAAAAAGCCAAGACAAGCCAAGACTGACACTCTGATAAATGATAAAGGACCCATATCCACAACTATATTATTCTCTCCAGGATTATTTGTCTTTATTTGAGGACATTTTTACATATACTGGGGCAAGAAATATGAACAGACAAGACATAAAAGAGGAAACCTACATGTCCAACAAAAGTATGAAAACAGACTCAATTTCATTAATAATCATGGCCATGTGTTGTGAAGGAGGTTCTGTCCAGCAGAGCTCCCCCAGCCACCATGGATGTCTACCAAGACATGATCTGCTTGGGGAGGAAAGGTGGCCAATCTCTCAGAGGAACAGGCTCAAGGCCTTGGGCCTGTTTTTCAATGGGCTTTATTGGGTTTAATTTGCATAGGAATACAGGGCGTATATGTAAAGCTCATCAATCATTTCCAGGCTGTAATGATCAAACAATAGATAACATTCAGAGAACTATGAGGGCTTATTCTGAGTCAGGGTCAGATAGCTAAGGGACATAAAACTTTGGGGAAACAAACTCATTTTTTGCCTGGACCCTTATTTAAATTGAGGGTATGTTTAGCAAAGCAGGTTTCACAGGATTTTATGCATTCATATTAGGTCCGATTGTCCCAGAAACCACCCATTCCAGCACAGGGACACACTGGCCTCTGGCATTGTTTTAGGCTTAAGTCAGGTGGGGGATTTGGGCAACCAAGAGATTAGTGGGCTTTTTTACAGATAGAATGAGGAGTCAGGCTATGACAAAGCTGAGGGGTGAGGGTCCATAACCCCTTTTATATAGTCCGCTAAGTCCTTCCCTGATGGCCCCTTCATGACCATGCCTATTCTAGGTTGTCCCTCCCTTGGGGAATCTTACCCACCATTGGCTAGCCAGTCATCCACCTGGGGCCAAGCAAGGTGAAGTAAAGGGGGCAGAGGCTGCACCCCTGCTGGGAAGATAAGTTTTGTCTCCTTAGTGGCATATGGTCCCAAGGTATCTTTACTCAGCCTTAGCCATGTGAGGTTACAAGCTTCTGAAACTAGGCAGGGTGGTTCCCAACAATGTGAATTAAATTTCCTGACTTTCGTTTGAAATTTTCTGAGACAAATTCATGAGCTTATTTTATTGTTTAGATTTATGCAGAAAATATATTCACATCAAATTAAATAACATGCTATAGTTTTATTTTCTAGAAAACTTCATTGTTCCCCTTTTCCCTAGAATAAAATTTTATTTATAGCATCTCTGAGCTCTATATTTTCCATTGTTTTCACAATTCAAATACCCCATGAATACTCTCCAAGAAAAATGCCTTTGAAACACATCCTCTATCCTCTAGTGTCTTTTCTGTGCCCTTGGCTGTCACAGCCCCTCACTAGGTCCCTTCATCCAGTCTTTTCTGCCTTCTGAGGGGCCTCTTTCTGCCCCCTCATTGATGACCCCTTTTAATAATATGTTTGGCTATCTGGGGAATAGCAAATTTCATAATTAAATTTTCAGACCTACTAGAATCATTCCTAAATCTATATTGAGTTTTACAACTATTCTATTATACTGTCATTATATTTGGAAAATTCTATTAGGGAGAGCTGTTCTTTGGAGAAGGTGAGACACATGATAATCTTATGCTAGTGTCCATCTCAGAATCCAAATGGCCTCAAACTGGATTAAAGTGTGTATATTCAACAGGCATGGAATAACGGTTTTCTTTCCCTCCAACTGCAGGTATTTTGCAGAAAGGGACAGTACAGCTGCTCAGCAGGCCCTCTCTGACTCTCTTCATCCAAAATGCAGGTAATTGTTGAAAATAAAAGGTGGATTACACTTTGTGAATAAGGTAGAATTAACTTCATCTTCTACATGGATCTGTTGATGAAATTTTTAGAAGTCAACCTACCAGAAGTGAGGTTTAAAGCTCCTTTGAACAAACCCTCTGACAAATTCAGAAGAGGATGGTTAAAGCTTCGGGTACTTATTTGCATTGGCTATACAGGTGAAGGATTATTAATTTAGCTAGCATGAGGTACATTCCCTTAATTGCTATAAAGTTCTGCCTTGCAAATACCACGGAATGACGTGCATTTTTTAAGTATATTTGCATATTTACACATTATGCTATATGGTTGCCTTTGGGTTCTCTGTACAGATTTTTTTGTTGATATTAAATGGAATCATAGACCTGAAACATGCTGTTCTTTTTTAATTAAGCTGATATGCTGATATAACCCACACACAAAAAAAACCCTTCAGGTACTTATGGGATTGAAGATATAAAATGGAGCCATTAGAGTGTGATACGTATTTGAAGGGACTGATAACATCACTGGTGTCCAGGAAGACTGGTGAGGTGGACATAGAAGGAGGAGAGAGTCGAGTCTGAGAACTCATTCAGAGAAACTTTTTCTCAAGAAAAAGTTCAGAGACAAGAGAGCATGATGGGAGAGTAGAGGGGAGAATCAGGGACTCACTGAAAAAGTCTGGAGTTTCTGAGGCTTTTTAAAGAATAAAATTCTAGATTCTAAATTATTTGCATCTTTATTTACTTTTCTACATTTTTTAACTGATTACATGAAGGGATATCACTAAAGAGGAAATAAGGTATTTTTTCTTTGGTTTTGTGTTTTGTTGCTTTTATTTTCTTTCAAAATATGTATGAACAATAATTTTTAAAGAAATAAAAATTCATGAAAATTTTTCCAAAAGCAAGTATTTCCTATCTTTTAATTTAATGTAGTTTTTTATATCTGGGCTCTGTTTTAGGGAGAGAAAAACTGGATTAGACCAACCTGATAGAAAATGTCAAAAACCTTTTCTATAGCCATGGCTATACCTGGTTGGAGAAACATTTTGAACACATCTAAAGGCTGATCACATCTCCACACATGCTCTGACCCATAGACTCCCCAGAGAGTGACATTTTATTTGGGAATTATGTTGCAGAGAACAAATTTTCTCTTCTATTAATGTATTTCTCATTTCATTATTAAATAACATAGTTATATATGCTTTAGTCATTCTTCTTATAAGGAGTTCTGGTATTTTGCAATCATGGTTTTGTATTACTTTTTTCTCCTCAGCATGGCAAGTTCCTTGTTAGTATTCATGTTGTCTAAGTTCTAAGTTTTATTATTCAGAAATTCAGAAGCAGATTGATTTAGGGGTCCCCCTCCCACCTTACTTATTCTAGTTTCTGTTGACTAAGGTTCATTTAATTATACTGTACTTCTCAAATTTGTATTTATAATCCTTCAAAAGATTAAATTATTTTTTGTTGTTTATTTACTTTGGAAAAACACTAAGACCACTTAGCTCTTTCTTGATATATTACATGGTTAAAATTGAGCTATTTTAACTTTTAACGAGGCTTTCTGCATTGCATGTTTCTGTAATGCAGAGATTCTGAACTTCCTCTAATCAAACTGACCTCAGGGTGTATGTGCACCATCAGGTGGCATTTCCTGGAGGAGCATCAGCCAGGAAACATGACTCCTTCATGGTCCTTGGGAAGAAACAATAAGCTTAAAATATTTATGATTAAGCATTGGACAGGGATTGATTTTGTCTATCAGCCATTCTTGAGAAGGACTTTATAGCTTCATTTCCTGTGTCAGCCATCAGAGAGGATTTGGTGGTTTGTGTGATTACTCCTATTTAAGAAGAGACTAGCATTTGCATGTGTGCACACACATGCAAGGCATACAGAAAAACTACCATGCTTTGTCCTTCAAGCTACAATAAAATTGACTATAAAATTGACTAGATGGAGTTCAAGCATTGATTACTTCAAATTGATAGTAAATGTCACTGAATACAAATCAGAGTGTTTTGAAAATGTTACTGTCCTTCACTAACCTCTGCAAGAAGTATATATTGACTGATCGTGATATAAACATAGGTTCTGTCAGGCCCTGAGTATTTCAGGTGTTCAACAGGGAGAAGCCTATGTATACTAGGAAAACTCTTTCCTATCTATCCTTTAGCAACCATTATATATTATTGTTCATTATATATTATTATATATATAAATCCATTGAATCCTGAAGTAACTTGAGGGATAAAAGTAGGTTCAAGTTTAAAAGAATTTCTGCTGTTAGGTTTTTTGCTTGTTTCTCTGTGTGTGTTTCCTGAAGAGATGGATTCATTCTATCAGGGCCCGGATATTGTGTCAATAATCAGATGAGTGGAGGTCATTGGCCTTTTCTTCTATTTTCAGTGCAGATAGAGATTTGACAAATATGGAGAAATTATCTATTTACAAAGCTTTGTTGAAGAGAAAATAGGTGCTTATAAATTAATTTATGCAAAGTTTCTTAAGTTTCAAACACAACTCATTTTATTTGAATATGAGTTTTTCAAGGTAAAAATCTGATGCCTCTTTGGCTGGTTAGTTGGTTTATTGGTTGGCAGTTACACTTTAAAAAGAGGCAACATGGTTTAACATGAATTAAAGACAGTTACTTTGAATTATAGGTAATCATTTACAAAGTAGAAAGTACACATAGTTAAATATAAGCTTTGTATTGTGTTTTTGTGGTCTTGTGCTGTGTGTATTACATGTTTGTCTTTTCATGCAGTGTTTGTGGAATGCTATAGAAAATTCCTACTTAGATGGAAGCTAAATGCTCATAATAACTCTAGTTTTAAATTTTATTTAGTTCAAATAATAATCACATTTTTTAGTCTGGTTACACTGAATGAAGGTCCCATTAGCCACAATGAAGAGTGGAGCATGGTTTCTGCCTACAAGATGTTAGCAGTACAGAGTCGGGTGAGGATGGGGGGATGAGCAAATACACAGTAATGAAATGCAAGGCATTATTTTCAGAATGCTTCTATGATATAACCCTTTCTTCAAACAGTCTTATTCAAAAGTTCAAATTATAAAATGGAATAAAACTGGAACTGCTATGGTTTTACTGTCCTACCTTAACCAGAGGAAATACCATAGCACTTGTTGAAACAGAGTTTTTTAAACCCATGTAGTATTCTCTCCTCCCTCTCTTCCTTCTTTCATTCCTTCCTTTTGTTCACTAACTCAATTATTTTTCAGTAAATATTTATTTGGCATCTAGTGTGTGCCAGACATCACAAACAAGGGTGAGTAGGATAAATGCCATGAGATAAAACCAAATTCGGGGAATCAAGGGAGCGTGAGGTGGCACCTAGTTAGAGGGGAGGGATACTAGAAAAGGTTTCATGGAAGCAATGTCATTTGGTAAGTAATGATAGGATAAAATAATATTGTAATGTTTGGCCTTTAGGGCTGTCTCCCACTGCTAAACTAAAGTGAATAGGGGATAAGTAGCATGGCTTTAAATAATTCCATTTCTGAGCTCCATATAAACTGTGTTGTAGCTCTTTAATTGATAATATTTTCATTGGTTTGTGTTTGATAACTGAGTTACAAATGTCTCTGCATTTAGTCAACAGTTTTAACATGAATATTAAGAGTACCAATTAGAGATTAACTCTTATTATTTATTCATTCATTCAGCAAATTCAGCAAAGCAGAATGGGAGCAGAAAAGGATGGACAAAGCAATTGGGTGAGTGTGGGATTTCATAATAAAGACTGTCAGTCTGAACCAGGACAAAAATGTCCAAGAGCCCTGTGAGAGATGACAAAAATGAAAATCTACTTATCCTGATAAAAATATATAATCCAGTTACATTTTTAAAAGGATCTGTTATGTTTATGAATATCTTTGTATTTGTATGATTATGTATAACTACTTTTCCTGTCACCAACTGCAAGATTTAGAAAGTTATAACCATATGGAAATCATTTTCAGAAGTCCTCATTTAGAATTTGTTTGTTTTCTTTTAAGGATTTCTGTCAAGTATCAGGCTATCAGATAAAAATTTTACTTTAGATATTATTTCATTTTATATTTTTTAAAGATTTTATTTATTTATTTTTAGAGAGGGAAAGGGAGGGAGGGAGAGAAACATCAATGTGTAATTGCCTCTCAAGCACCCCCTACTGGTGACCTGGCCCACAACCCAGACACATGCCCTGACTGGGAATGGAACAGGTAACCCTTTAGTTTGCAGGCTGGCACTCAATCCACTGAGCCACACTAGCCAGGGCTAAAAGTGTTGGGGTTTTTTTTATAATACCCATTTCATCTAAAAATTTTGAAAAGAAATCTTTTTTTTTAATGTGCTACCATGATAGACATGTAGAAAAGGGAGTAGAAAATATACCCTGATCATTAAGATACTTATTTATATTTTTCCTCCTTTTAACAATAATATATTATTTATACCCTGACCAGTGTGGTTCAGTTGGGTGGGCATTGTCCTGTAAAGCAGAAGGTCATTGTTTTGACTCCCAGTCAGTGCACATGCCTGAGTTGCAGGTTCAGTTCCTGGTTGGAGAGTGTATGAAAGGCAACCAGTCAATGTTTCTCTCTCACACTGGTGTTTCTCTCCCTCTTTCTCCCTCCCTTCCTCCCTCTGTAAGAATAAGTAAATAAAATCTAAAAGTAGTATATGATTTATTATAGATAATTTAGAAAATATAGGAAAGTAAACAAAAATCACCTCTTATTACTCTAATATACATATATTAATATTTTGTGTCATTTCATTCTAGCCTGCTTTCTGTGCACATTTTTGTGTATATATAAGAAAACTTGTTTTGTTCAATACATAATGTGTTATATTTTATTTAAATAGTCTTTAGGAATATAGTTTTATTGGCTAAATATGTTACATGAGATTACTGTAATTTACTTCACCAGTCACTTTTTTTTAGAATATTTGAATAGTTTCTATGTCTTTGGCAGTGTAAATAGTGCTGTAATGAATATCCTTGCATATGATGCTTTGTCAGGTTTTTATTTTTTTTCTCGTATATTTGGAAATGGAATTACCAAGTCAAAGTATATGAACCCTGAATTCTCTTTATGATAAATTACAAAATTCAGAGTTTCAATAAGGTGGAGAGGGAAGGGAAACCTGCCACTCTAATAATTTATTAACTAAAAATCAGGTTATTGTATTTTTAAGTCTTGTTTCCCATGTGTGGCACAAAATTGGTTTTGTGGTTTACCCTTTACAGGTACTCCTTTGCAATCGTGGGCATCAATATAACTGATCTGACATATAATCTACTGGTGAGCGGAGCCCTAAAAACTCATTTCTATAACATCGCCCCAGAAGCTCCAACATTGTCTCACTTCCAACAAACATTCTGTAAGTGTCCTGTTGCTTAATTATCAATGTAGTTTTCTATAGAACATTCTAGATAAGTGTTGAAGCTGAGATATCTTTGTGATTTAGTTGCTTTGGGGACTTTAAATTTCCTCTTATGGTTTTGATTTTTGTTGTTTTTCTCCTTTTAAAGCCTACACTTATATTTTCAGGCATTGTGGATTTATCATCTTTCCCAGCCCTTGAACAATACCCAATGTATCTATTTCTGGTCAGACTTAAAGACATTATTGGTGTCCCCCCTTGATCCAGCATGGCCTAGCACTCAAGTACAGACTTTGACAACAAATTGAGTTGACTCCTAGATCTATGTTTACTAACCTCTCTAAGCCTCAGTTATCTCATCTATAAAATGAGTTTTTTCCTTATAGAGCTGCTATGAGGATAAAATTAGATGATGGATAAAATATTTTTCTTAGCTAGCCCCATAGTTAGTGTTCAGTGAATATTAGAAAGAGGAGGTATTGGTTTAGTGGGTGATACTGATATAGGTCCCCCCAGTAAAATTGTTCAGCAATATCACTCTACAGTCATGCTTGTAGTCACCAAGCCCTACCTGTATGCTCAGAGCTTCCCAGTCAGCTTTTAGTCCAACCAGCTTTTTATTCAGTCAAAAATATTTATAGACAGCCAGGGATTATCAGATGCCCAAGTGTGATGGTTAAACATATATCCTCAAATTCTTTGACACTCCTCCCACTAAGAAGTAAGGTTTATTTATCCCTCTCACTACTTGATTCCGGGCTGGCTGCTTGGTTAACCAATAGAGTATAGAAGAACTGACACTATATGAGTACTGAGATTAGATCAGAAAAGGCTTTTGCCTGGTTCTCTGGGACTGGGCTGAGTTTGGAGGCATGGAGGCATGAGCCCCTATAAAGGGGATCTGACTCGTTTTGGGAGGAAGTTCAGGACACAACACGTGGAGCAATCTGTGTAGGTGATCTGACTGACAGTGTCAGATGAGGTCCCAACTGATATCCATCATCTACCGTGAGACATGTGAGTAAAGATGTCTCAAAATAGTTCCTGCCATTTTGCTGTTAAGTCACCTCAACCTTCACTTCAGGTCTTTCCAGTTGAGACTCCAGACATTATGGAAGATCCCCTCAATGCCCTTCCTGAATTCCTAACCCACTGAATTCATGAGTATGTTAAAATTGCTGTTTTAAACCATTGAATTTTGAAATAATTTCTTAAGCAGCACTTGAAAACAGGAATGATAAGGAAAGCCTCAAGCATGAAAGAGTGCAAAATAAGCAGGAATAAAGCCACTAGAAGGAAGTAGAAAAAATACAAGGAGAAAAAAAGGCAAAAATCTGTATCATTAATATCCCCAAAGGGATAATACATTGCAACTATGAAACAAGAACAAAATACTATAGAAAGAACATTCCAAGAAAAAAAGACACACTTAGAAATTAAAAATCATGAGACTTCCAGTCAAGATGGTGGTATAAGCAGACTTGGCTCACCTCCTCGCACAACCACATCAAAATTAACTAAAGTATAGAACAACCATCACTCAGAACTGTCAGAAATCGAGTTCAATGGAAGTTTTAACAACTACAGAATTAAAGAAACCACATCCATCCAGACTGGTAGGAGGGGTGGAGGTGGGAAACAGGTTGGTCCCATACCCACATGTAGTAGATGAAAATTCAGGAGGGATATCTCAGGAGCAAGGAGTTCCAGCACCACACTAGGCCCCCTGGCCAAGAGATCGAATGCCAGAAAGATCAGTCCCCACAACTTGAGTCAGTGGAAAAAAACTTCTGAAACCCCAAGCAGTTCCTCTTAAAGAACCCACATAAGGACTCACCTACTCAGACTCACTCTCTCTGGGCTCTAGCATCAGGGTAGCAGCTTGAAAGTCACAGTAATATACAGGGAGAAATTCAAGTGTCTGGCATCAAGGCAAGCAGAAGCCATTGTCCCTTTTCCGAACCCTCACCCTGAAATTCCATCAACCTGGCTAACACTGTTTGGCATACCTTGGAGATCCCCAGAGACTCAGCCCCACCCAACTTACCAGCCCAGCCAAGCTGCTAATCCATACGAATGGCTGGTCTTGGCTCATGCTCCACAGCTTCCTAAATCCTCTCAAACAAGCCAACAGCTGTCCTCAGTGAGTTCCAGGCATAGCTCTAGCAGTAGTCAGCCTAGATTCACAGCTTAGCTTCACCTGTATATCTCCAAGCCCAACATAAGTAGCAGCCTTTTCAGATTGCTTTATATTCAGACAGGATGGACCTGGGAAGAACACAGGTGGGGATTGGCCTTGCCATGCACCACCCAGGAAATCCCAGAGCCTGCCCACCCAGTGGCAGCAACCAACCATGTCAGAGCACCACCACCCTGCTGCCACACAGCTGATCACCCATGGAGGGCAAAGGTTGATGGTCAGTGGTCACAGCCAATCCTTGCAGCTGACTGGCCTGGGGAAATCCATCCCATTGACCTGTTAACAGCAATCAAGTCTCAACTACAAAAGGAAGGTATACTCAGCCCACATGAAGGGCATACCCTCAAATACCCAGCTTGGGTGATACAGGAGGCTGTGCCACTGGCCCTACAGGATACCTACTACATTAGGCCAAACTACCAAGACATGGAGTCAAAGTAGCTCTACCTAATACATGGAAACTAACACAGGGAAGCTGACAAAACAAGGAGACAAAGAAACATGGCCCAAATGAAAGAACAAATCAAAATTCCAGAAAAAGAACTAAACAAAATGGAAATAATCTATCAGATGCAGAGTTCAAAATACTGGTTATAAGGATGCTCAAGGAACTTAATGAGGACTTCAAGAGTATAAAATAGATCTGGTCAGAAACAAAGGATACATTAATTGAAATAAAGAACAATTTACAGGCAAACAACAATAGAGTGGATGAAGCCAAGAATCAAATCAATGACTTGGAACATAAGGAAGCTAAAAACAACTAATCAGAACAAGAAAAAAAAGAATTAAAAAAAATGAGGATAGAATAAACAGCCTTTGGGACAACTTCAAGCCTTCCAACATTCCCATCATAGAGGTGCCAGAAGGAGAAAAGAAAGAGCAAGAAATTGGAAATCCATTTTAAAAATAATGAAGAAAACTTCCTTAATTTGCTGAAGGAAATAGATAATGCAAGTCCAGGAAGCACAGAATCCCAAACAAGATGGATGTAAAGAGGCCAGCTCCCAGACACATCACAATTAAAATGCCAAAGGTAGAGATGAAGAGAGAATCTTCAAAGCAGCAAGAGAAAAGCAGTTAGTCATCTACAGGGCATTCTCATAAGACTGTCAGCTGATTTCTCAAAAGAAACTTTGCAGGCTAGAAGAAATTGGCAAGAAATATTCAAAGTCATGAAAGTCAGGGATCTAAAGCCAAGATTGCTCTACATAGCAAAGTTATAATTTAGAATCAAAGGACAAATAAAAAGCTTCCCAGAGAAGAAAAAACTAAAGGAGTTCATTATCACCAAACCATTATTATATGAAATGTTAAAGGGACTTACTTAAGAAAAAGAAGGTCAAAATATGAACAATAAAATGGCAATAAATGCATATCTGTCAACAATTGAATCTAAAAAACAAGCTAAGCAAACAAGAAGAACAGAGTCAGAATCATGGATACAGTGAGTGTTTTAATGGTTGCCAGATGGGAGAGGAGTGTGGCGAAGTGGGAGAAAAGGTGAGAGGATTAAGAAGTACAAATATGTGGTTACAGAAGTGCCATGAGGATGTAAAGTACAGTATAGGAAACGAAGTAGCCAAAGAACTTATATGCATGACCCATGGACATGAACAATGGTGGAGGACTGCCTGAGTATGGGGCATGCTGGGGGGAGGGTGCGAAGGCAGAGAAATCAGGACAACTGTAATAGCATAATTAATAAAATAGCATTAAAAATAAATAAATAATTAAACAAATTAAAACTCACATCACAGAAATGAAATCACCAGGAAGGATTAGAAAATAAAGCTGAAAGTATTTCTAGAATGTAATAGAACAGTATAGATGAAAAATAAAAGTAAAGATTGAGCCCTGGCTGGTGTGGCTCAGTGGAGTGCCAGCCTGCAAACCAGTGGGCTGCCAATTCAATTCCCAGTCAGGGCACATGCCTGAGTTGCAGGCCGGATCTCCAGTTGGGGGGCTTTTAAGAGGCAACCCCATATCAATATTTCTCTCCCTTTTTTTCCTCTCTCTGTTCCCCTCTGTCTAAAAATAAATAAAATCATTAAAAGATAAAAATAGGAAAAAAAGGTTGAAAAATTTAAGGACAATTCTAAGAAGCCTTATAACTGAATAATAGAGGTGCCAGAAAAAGAGGAGTGAAGCTAAAGTATAGGAATCAAAGAAATAAAGAAAAATTTTCAGAAGTAAAGGATGAGTTTTATATTTAAACTAATAAGCACCAGCATAATAGATTAAAATAGTATCACACCAAGATCAATATCATTGTAAAATTATGACACTAGAAAAAGATTATTCTAAAAATCTTCAAAGCTATTATATAAAGAATTGAGAATCAAGATAACATTGGACTTTTTAACAGCAACATTGTATTCTATAAGACAGTGAAATAAACAATTTCTTCAAATATTTAAGAGACTGTTTTTTAAAGCCTAAAGGAATATGATTTCCAACTTAGAATTCTATACCCAGCCTAACTTACCAATTAAGTATAGTAGTATAATGAGGACATATTTTCAATGCAAGGTCTTAAAACATTTTATCCTCTTGTAACTTTATCAGGAAGCTCCTTAAATATATGTTTCCACAAAGTAAAAGTATAATCCTAAAAGAAATGTATTAGGTCCAGAAAGCATAAAATGTCATAAAAGAGAAGTGAAGAAAATCTTCAGGATGAAAGTGAAGGGAAAGCCCAAGATGATATCTATGCAATAGTCTGAGAATAATAAATCCAGATCTTAGCAGGTCAGAAGTCTCTGGGAGAGTCTCTTTAAAGAATATGAAATTGACAGAATTAAATTACTTTTCCCAAGGCCCTCACCAGATTTTAGAAAGAGCAGAAATCCCCCTGTAGATTGAGATGTAGACAGAGGTACTCGGACCTTTGTAGTAGAAGAAGGCAGTACTTTGAATTCATTGTTTCTCCATCAGACATGATCAGTTCTGCCTGTTTCTTCTGTAATATACTTGCAATTACCTGTGTCCTTGCATATGCCTCTGCTGTCTGCTAACTGAATGCAGTGAAGCAAAGCCAAGACACATTCAAGCAACAACAAATACACTGCAGGCTTGGATTGGAAGGCCAGATTAGTATTCAAAACAGATATTTTATCCAGGTGAAAGAATGTAAGAAGATAATAGCTCTATTAGTCTGTCTTTACAGTTATTCAGCAAACACTGCACTGCCAAGGCAGTGTTCTACAAAGACTGCATTTAATCTAAAGCTCCACTGAACACACAGCTCCACTGACATGAAATAAGGTTAGTTGTAATGAGCAGAAGGAAAGTAGAAGGCCAGAAGAGGAAAGAGAATTATTTTTCTTTGACCTTCAAAAGAAGGAACTATTCAATAGGAATAAGAACCAGAGGAAGAGAATAAACTGGATAGCCAGCTGATGTCAGGGCCTGGCTCCCAGCCTCCAGCTCTAACTGTTTAATTGTGCCCCATCCAAGTAGTTTTTTAAGCCAAGCATTCTTATCTATAAAGTGAAGATGTATCAGCATTACCTACTCCATAAAACTGTTTAGAGAATTAAGAGACTAGAAACAATAGCCTGGCCTGTTTCCTTCCTCTACATTCCACACTATTTTGTTGGCTTCCTTCACTGATCAATAATGATCTGGAATTGTCTGCCTGGCTCCCTCTCTCCAAAAGACCAAGAATTGGGGAGTATAAAAATCCTATATTTTTCTTGTATCTTTACATATTTGTTCATTGAAGGATGGGCCAATGACCAAATGACCAAACAGATTAATGAACATTCTGTAATGTTATATAAATGAGTGGAGGTTTGTGATTATAATATGTACCTTGGAAGCCATGCTACCATTTCTGCATTTGATTAAAATCATGTCATAGTCTCTAATTATTTTCCTGATGAGACAGAGTCCCAGGAAATCAGTCTATAAGCTCTACAGCTTGACTTTTGTAGCCTGAAGAGGAAGGATCCTGAGAATGGAGTCAGATTATTAACCACCCTCACCTCTACTCTTATCCTCATCTGTCTTTAAAACTTTTCAGGATGTTTTTCTGTATGTGTATTTTTTCATGTAGGTAGGAAAATAGGGAAACCAAATGGAGCTGCATTCTTCTAAAACTCTGGACTACATTAGATCATGTTTAGAGTCTGTTGCCAGTTTACTGCACATTGTGGAAGAATAGAAATTTTTACGTACATTGTGAAAAAGTGAACCCTTCATTAAAAGATAACTTTGCAGTGCTTGTTTATTATTGTCAATAAGATTAGAACACATGAAATACTAATGAAATGCATTTTTTTTAGAGAGACAGGGAAAGGGAGGGAGAAAGAAAGGGAGAGAAACATCAATGTGTGGTTCCATCTCAAGCATCCCCTACTGGGGACTTGGCCTGCAACCCAGGCATGTGACATGACTGGGAATTGAACAAGCAATCCTTTGGTTCACAAGCTGATGCTCAGTCCACTGAGCCACACCAGCCAGGGCTAATGAAATGCCTTCAGTTCATCATGGATGATTTTAATTCATAATGTTGGAAAACTGACTCTGTATACAACACAGCTCAGATGTCTTTATTTGAACTCAGAGGCTAGGTCAGGAAAATTATGTGTGTATTTTATATAGCAAGGAAAGAAGAAATTATAAATGATTGCAGATTTCATTTAGAAACATAAAAATTACATTTATTTAAAAAGCCCAGGGAACTTTAAAAAAGAGTGTTTTTTAGACCAGTAGTTCTCAGACTTGAGTGACATGAATGAGACTCATCTTACTGAACTGTGATGTCTAGTTGAATCTGGGAGAGTCTACATTTTTAAAAGGGACCCTCATACCATTCTTGGGATACCTTTAAGAATTCACCCAGTCCCTGAGATGGATGAATGATTACATTGTTTGGGATAAATAAGATACTGAGATTAGGGGAAACAAGTTTCTGTTGGTGTGCACTGAAACAACCACCCTGGTAAACAGACACCAACTTGTGGCATGTGAGAAATGGTAAGAAAAAATAAGGATGCTTAACCTGGAAAAAAAGTAAGCTCAGGGCGTAAAGGGCATTTCAAATACTTGAATTGGAGAATTATGGGATTTGTTCCAAGAAATACAAGACAACATAGTTTCGCTCCATGAGAAGAACCTTTTAAGAATCAGGTTCTTGGAATACCACTCAGCCTTAAAAAAAGAAGGAAATCTTACCCTTTGCAACAGCATGGATGGACCTGGAGAACATTATGCTAAGTGAAATAAGCCAGTCAGAGAAAGACAAGTACTATATGATTTCACTCATATGTGGAATCTAATGAACAAAATAAACTAACAAACAAAATAGAGAACAGATGCATAGAGAACTGACAGCTGTCAGAGGGGAGGGGGCATTGGGAGGCTGGGTGAAAAAGGTGAAAACTCAGACAATAGTATGGTGATTACCAGAGGGAAAGACGGTTGGGGAGAGGTAGAAGAGGGTATAGAGGGGATAAAAGATGACAGAAGGATACTTGACTTGGGATGGTGAACACACAGTACAGTATACAGATGGTGTATTATTGGGTGTAATTGTACACCCGAAACCTATGTAATTTTATTAACCAATGTCACCCTGAAAATTTGAAAGAAAAAGAGAGACAGAAAAAGAGAGAGAGGGAGAGAGACAGACAGACAGACAGACATCCCAGAGGTCCTGTTTAGGACCCACAGAGAAAGACAATACACCTAGATGGAACTGGTAGGTTTCAAATAACTTTACTCTCATCTGAACTTTTTTTTCTGAAAATAAATTCCTCAAATCCAATGGGAAAAAGAAAAAAAGAATCAGGTTCTTCATCCATGGAACAGACTACTGTCAGTGTTGCCACCGGAAGAGTTCAAGGCTGGATGATGCCTAGGTGAATCCAAGCATCAGGTGGAGGAAAGATGGATGGATGGGAGAGGTCCTGGGGTCACCTCAGGACATCTCTGATCGGGGTCATTTTTTTATTGTTGTTCAAGTGTGTTTGTTCCAAAATTCTCTTCCCATGCCCCCTGTCATCTCTGCTGCTCACTCCTTTCTCACAGAGGTGAAAAAGCTAGGATTCAAACCAGGTTTCTGGTTCCAGAATCCTTGCTCTTATGTTCTACTGCCTTCTAATATTAACACAAAGAAAAGCTTGTGTAATGTTGGGTTTTCTTTTTTTAACTACGATTATTTCCTCAAATATTTTTTGTAATATACAGAGACATTTGACTTTGCAATAGGTTTACTACTTACAGATTATTGCTATCTGTTTAAAAAGCTGTTCACATATCCATTCTGAATGTCGTAGAGGAAGAGAACACAGTGGAGAAACAGAGCACAATGAAGAGATTCTCATATAAAACACTTAACATTTATTCCAAAAATTTCCCAATGCAGATCATTCATAGACAACATTTATGAGACATAAAAGTATTTGAATATGAAATTATGCTTCAGAGCAAGGAAGTCTTATTAACAATTTCATGTAGTTTAATGACCAGTCTGTGTTGTTTAGAGTTGATTTACAATTTTTATTTTCTCATAATAGATTGTCCAAATGTATTTGTTTAATTTGTCAGAGTAATTTAAAACTTAAATCAAATATCAAGAGAAAAAAGGCTGAGTGGAGTAATTTTGAAAAATTAGACCATTATGTTAATGTAATCAAAAGGGAAGGATGAAGTGGTTGCTGTCAGCCTTTCAGAATATGTTCCAGATGTGATTCATATTCAAGACATGCAGAATAGATTTGTATTCTTGCTTGAAAGGAGTGAGAATAATTCTAGGACTAATTGCAAAAATCTTGCAGATTAGTAGCTCCTACTACACTGGTTTCAAAGAAAAATTTTTCATAGTAGTATTTGAGTGAAATATTTTTATTTAAATACTCTGATCACTTCTTTGAGATCTATGTGGCTGTTATTTTGTCTCACCTCTCTTTGAGCCATTCAGGGTGATTTTGAATGTGATTATGAATTTTTTCCCTCCTGCATTCTTACCACTGTTTTATCTCTACTAGGCTATTTGATGCACGAGTTTCATAAGTTCTGGATTGAAGAGGACCCCATAGACATAATGGAATTTAATCGGGTGCGGGAGAAATTCCGCAAGAGGATCATAAAACAGCTGCAGAACCCAGACATGGCATTATGCCCACACTTTGCTGCCTCAGAAGGTTTAATCAACATGTAGTCACCCACGCTGATTTTAATGGATACCCCAGAACACTGCCTCATTGTCATGTTAGATCTCTGCTTTATCCCAACTCACACACTGAATGCACACAGTGATTATATGCATGCCTTTTGGTACAGTATTTTCATCTTTTGGGCATACTTACCAGATCCCCAGATGCCACTCTTTCTGAATACCTGTCATCCAGTGACTGCCCATGTTGTGGCATTATGCAGTGTTACATCCTGCCTTGACACCAGGTATGGAGAGAGTTTTCTATTTTTTTAGATTGTTTTCCTCCCTCTCATAATTCAGCATTGAAGAACTGTATTTCTGTAGCTGTATTTTGTATGTAAGAGATTTATCTGAATTTTATTCTGTGGAAGCCTTTTAATTTATTGATATGTTTCATGACCACTGCTGCTAGCTTTTCAAACCAGGTTCATGCTTGGGACTCATTCCAATAAAGTATAAGACTTAAAATAATACAGAGAGACAGACACATGATAAGCCAAACCATTCCTGCAAACATAGCTGCGCTTCACGGAAATGTAATGAGGCTTACAAGGAGTAAATTTAGATAGGTGTTTTTTTGTTTGTTTGAATTATATTGTAAGTTACCCCCAAGTCTGTCATAGTAATTTAGATATCAAATTATTTTGTTCCCATAATTTCACAGGCTTGGATGCCTAAATATGCCTATGATGCTTAAAGCCTCAGAAAAGAAGTATGCATATGTACTTCAAAAGCTTCAAAAGGACTTTCACTGCCTTCCTCTTGCTAATGCAGAGTTGTACCCTGGCACTGTTCTGATCCAAGCATCTTTGCTTGGGGGACTTGAGTGCTGACTGGTTTGTTTTCTCTGTCAAGAGGCAATATTAAAAAACAGTTTGTAAGAAAATGTGTTGCAAGAGAGAAATCTAAGCTATATCATTCTGCAATATTTCTTGGAAATAATGACCTTGTATTGATAGAAGAAGTAACTTGCTTTAAAGAGGGAAAAGACCAAATCATTCTAAAACTGCTGAAAATCATTTTAAAAACCATGATTTGTTTGGAATTATGATTGTAGTCTGTTGAATAGTATTTACCATGGCATTTCATACCCATGGTATTTTATACCTTCTATCAACTTTAGTATTACTAGATATTTGTGTAATCACTTGCTTATTTAAGTGAATTTGAGTACTGCTTGTCAGTTATATGAATAAATTACATGTCATTCTACTGTTAATGTATGGTGGATTCCATTTTAATATCTTAGTGCTAATACAGCTTCTGAATATGCAAATATGTGAGTGGGTAGAATATCAAAGACAGACAACCTAGGGCTGAATATAAATCATGCCATCATTCAGAGCAACCAGGAATAAATTAGACTGTGTCATGTCTGAGAAACTTCTTTTATTTAACTGATCTTGAGGCCCGGTGCTGCTTTAATGAAAGAATAATATCCACCTTTTTCTTTGCAGCTCCCTATAAAGACTGGTTTGTCTGCTGCTAGACAACTGACAAAGGAAACAATCTGCCTGTCATTTCCTTGTCCATTCTGGCTCCTCTGGGATTTTGCTATCATATCCCTTCAGCTCTGTACCAGACAGCAGCATTATGCACCTATCCATTATAGCCCTTTGCCCTTCCCCATTCTGGGGAAGGGAAGGGGTTGGTTCTCGCATGATGTGCACCATGAGTAATGACAAGAATATCTATTCCTCTCTGGAGGAGGTGAGAATTTGTGAACTAGGTAAATGGCCCATCTTGGGAGCCCTGAATTTCTGCTGCAGTTGTGACTGCCACAGAGGAGAGCATTATTCCACATGCAGTCCAGCCTTTGTCAACCACATGTGCACTCATTGTCTCTTTCTATCCTCTGTGGCCCTGCATCACTGACACAGCTTGACAGTGTGTAGCATTTACACCAGCACATGCCTTTCCTTTTCATGTAGACAGAGTTGGCAGTAACAGCGCTGGGAGTTTCCTTCCAGGTCCTTGAATGATTTCTCTCTGTTTTATCTGATCATGGCTGCACAATTTTAGGATTAAAAAAACTCTGCCAGTTCCTTCTGGTTCAGAGTACTATTAGATATTCTGAGTATTATTAGATTTTCTATTCACACCTCTTTGTGGAAAATGCATACTACCTAGTAATGTGGAGTGTGATGAAAAAAAGAAAAGGAGAAGGTTTAAAAAGCATTAAAAATGTGTGATGCATTTCCCTTGAGCATTCTTAGCTTGCTTTTATGTATTCCATTAAACCACAGTTGACCACTTAAGATGCAAATGATATAGCAAGTCTCTTCCAAGTTTTCCAAAACACTACTTGCTACCAGAAAAACACATACCCATTCATAGACATTCCTGTTCACACTATAGGAAAAAACTTGTTGAAGCACCATTTCTGAAAATTGAGTTCAATCTGACTTTCCTTCTTACAATCTTGTTATTGTATTGAAAAAAATATCATTTGTCTGATAACCCACCATCTTTTTCTATTTGAAAAGAAGGTTAAATATGGGTTGGGCAAAAGCAGGTTTACAGTTGTAATACAAATAACACAATAAATAATATATAATAATACAAAAATAAACTGTGTTTTGCATACTCACAACTGTAAACCTGCTTTTGCACACCTCTGTATATGCCAATTCCAAATGATAGCATGCTCTTTCAATGTATCTTCCAGACTGGAACACTTGAGAGAGGAAGAGGATGTTATTAAAATTTCTTTAAGACAACAGGGTAAACTAGGACAGTTTGAGGAAACTGAGATGTTAAGTGATTAAGAGAGACCTAGAGACTTAAGTAGGGATAACCTACCCACAACTCAGTCAGGCAAACACAACCCAATTTCTTCACTTTCTAACCTCTGCAGGAGAAGTACATACACCATAGGGACATGGACATTGTGATAACCAGAATACTACCCAAAATCTTTTCTTATTATTTTGTTGTATTTTTCCATTCCATTTAGCCCTCTTATGCCTCCCTCCCCCTGCAATCACCATACTGTCGTCCATGTCCATGAGTCCTTTCTCCTTTTTGCTCAGGCCCTTCAGCCCCTACCCTCCCTCCCACACGCACACCCACAGCTGTCAGCCTGCTCTCTATATATGAGTCTGTCTGTATTTGCTTGTTCAGTTTACTCATTAGATTCCACATATGAGAAATCATATGGTATTTATTTTTCTCTGACTGGCTTATTTCACTTAGCATAATGTTTTCCAGGTCTATCCATACTGTTGCAAAGGATTTTATGGCCAAGGAGAATTCCATCATGTAAATGTCCTATAGTTATTTTATCCACTCATCTACTGATTGACACTTGGTCTGCTTCTATATCTTAGTGATTGTAAAGAATGCTGCAATGAACATAAGGGTGCTTATGTTCTTTCAAATCAGTGTTTTGTATTTCTTCAGACATATTCTCAGAAGTGGGATCACTGAATCAAAAGACAGATCCATTTTTAATTTTTTGAGGTATCTTTATGCTGCTTTCCACAGTAGCTGCACCAGTCTGCATTCCCACCAACAGTGTACAAGGGTTCCCCTTTCCCACATCCTCGCCAGCACTTGTTTGTTGATTTATTAATGATAGCTAGTCTGACATGTGTGAGGTGGTATCTCACTGTGGTTTTAATTTTCATTTCTCTGATAATTATTGATGTTGAGCATCTTTTCATATGTCTATGAGTCCTCTGTATGTCCTCTTTGGAAAAGTGTCTATTCAGGTCCTTTGCCCATTTTTAATTGAATTGTTTGATTGTTTTTAGTTTTGTAAATTCTTTATAAAATTTTTATATTAACCACTTATCAGATATATCAGCAAATGTTCTCCCATTCCATGGGTTGTCTTTTTATTCTGTTGATGATTTCCTTCACTGTGCAAAAACTTTTTAGTCTTATGTAGTCCCATTTGTTCATTTTTTCTTTTGTTTCCCTGGCCTGGGGAGATATATCTGATAAAATATTGCTAAGAGCAATGGCTGAGATTTTACTGCCTATGTTTTCTTCTAGGATTTTATGGTTTCAGGTCTAACATTTAAGTCTTTAATCCATTTTTAATTTATTCTTGTGTGTGGTATATGAAGGTAGTCTAGCTCCATTTTTCTGCATGTATCTGTCCAATTTTCCCAGCACCATTTATTGAATAAACTATATTTTAGCGCATTGTATGTGCTTGCTTCCTCTGTCAAATATTAATTGACTATAAAGATGTGGTATTATTTCTGGGTTCTCCAGTGTGTTCCTTTGATCTGTGTGTCTGCTTTTATGCCAGTACCATTCTGTTTTGATGACTATGGCCTTATATTACAGTTCGATACAAGGTACTGTTGTTCCTCCACCTTTGTTCTTCTTTCTCAGGTTCTCTGTTGCTATGCAGGGCCTTTTGTGGTTCCATATATACTTTTGGATTATTTTTTCTAGTTCTCTAAAATATGTCATTGGAATCTTGATAGGAATGGCATTGAATCTATGGATTGCTTTGGGTAGCATGGACACTTTAATGATGTTAATTTCTTCTTGTCCAGGTATGTGCTTCTCTTGTTTGTATCTTCTTCAATTTCTTCAGTGTCTCATAATTTTCTTTTACATCCTTGGTTATATTTATTCCTGGTTATTTTATCCTTCTTGAAGCAATTGTGAGTGGCTTTTTTTTTTCATAATTTCCTTTCTGTTAGTTCATTGTTGGCATATAAAAGTGCAACTGATTTCTGGATATTAATTTTGTATCCTGCTACTTTGATGAATTCACTTATCACATCTAGTAATATCTTGGTGGAATCTTTGGGGTTCTTTATGTACGGAATCATGTCTTCTGCAAATAAAGATAGTTTTACTTCTTTCCAAATGCCTTTTATTTCTTCTTCTTGTCTGATTGCTGTGGCTAGGACTTCCAGCACTATATTGAATAAGAAAGGTGAAAGTAGACATCCCTGTCTTGTTCCTGATCTCAAGGGGAATGCTTGTAGTTTTTGCCTGTTGAGTATAATGTTGGCAGTTGGTTTGTTATATATGTCCTTTATTATGTTTAATTATGGTCCCTTTAGCTGAGAGTGTTTAATCATAAATTGGTGTTGGATTTTATAAAATGCTTTTTCTACATCTATTGGTACGATCATGTGGTTTTTATCCTTCATTTTTGTTTATGTGGTAAATCACATTTTATTGATTTTCAAATGTTGTACCAACTTTGAATTCCAAGAATAAATCCCATTTGATCACGTGTATGATCTTTTTGATATACTGCTGTATTTGGTTTGCAAATATTTTGTTGAGAATTTTAGCATCTATGTTCATCAGGGATTTTGGCCTATAATTTTCTTTTTTGTGTGTGTCTATATCTAGTTTTGGAATTAGGAGAATGCTAGACTTATAAAATGGGCTTAGGAGTCTTCCCTCCTCCTGAATATTTTGAAATCTTTGAAAAGGAGAGGTATTAGTTCTTTTCAGGTTTATTAAAATTCTCCTATGAAGCCATCCAGGCCAGAGCTTTCATTTGTTGGAACTTTTTTGATTACTGCATCAATTTCACTAGGTGTAATCTGTCTACTCAGATACTCTGATTCTTCCTGATTTAGTTTTGGAACATTGTATGATTCTAGGAATTTATCTACTTCGTCCAGGTTGTCCAGTTTGTTGGCATATAGTTGATCATAACAGTTTCTTACAATCCTTTATATTTCTTTGGTATCAGTTGTTATTTCTACTCTTTTATTTCTGACTTTATTTTTTGGGGTGTCCCCTCTTTTTTTCTCTTGATGAGTCTGGTTAAAGGTTTGTCAACCTTGTTTATTTTTTCTAAGACCTAGCTCTTGGATTCATTGATCTTTTGAATCATTTTTAGGCTCTATTTGTTTATTTCTGCTCTGATCTTTATTATTCCCTTCCTTCTACTCACTTTGGGCTTTGTTCTTTTTTAAGTTCCTTTTAAGTGCAAAGTTAGATTGCTTATTTGACCTTTTCCTTTTTTCTTGAGATAGGCCTTTAATGTTATGAATTTCTTTCTTAGGATTGCTTTCCCTGTGTCCCACAGATTTTGGATTGTTGTGTCCTCATTTTCATTTGTTTCAAAGTATCTTCTGATTTCTCCCTTGATCTCATTGTTGGCCCATTCATTATTTAATAACATGTTATTTAGCTTCCATGTCTTTGTGTATTTTTCAGTGTTTTTGTGGTTGATATCTAGTTTCATAGCACTGTGGTCAGAGAAGATACTTGATATGATTTCAATCT